CAAGGTCGCCTCAAAGGACATTATAATGGCACTGTGGTCCCGTAGAACGTAATTTTCATACTGAATTAATGCGAAGGGATTTTGTTTTGCTCGTAATATACATAGAAGGAATGTATACAGGGTGTTAATAAATTCTGGATCACTTTCACATGGTGGATTCTATAATGATAAATATCAGAGAATTCATCTTTTATTTTAGCTTTGGATGAGAAGAATAGCCATTTTGTAAAAAAAAACTATGTAAAATACATTTCGAATTTCATAAGTAACAATAATAATCAATACATAAGAAGGAATTTCCGTGTGAAAAAGATTTTTTGTACTGTATTTTTGTTTGTATCGATGAGTGTTCGAAGGCTCCTCGGCACTAAATATTAAATGTTTCATAAACCAATGGCCATATGCGGCTTATGACAAATTTTATTAGCTTCAAAATTGCAAGTCAGCGTTACACCTGGGGACCTCTCCTTGTCAGTGCCGAGGAGCCTTCGAACACTCATCGAGGATTTATTGTACAGATTTTGTAAAAAAATCGACAAGCATCTCCAACATGGTAGTAAAATAAGAGAATAATATCTAAAGACTACACAAAACAGGCGATATGTTTTTAGCTGCATATATCAATAATATTAACAGCTATGACCTGTTAAACCCTAATTCTCAAATGAAATTTCAATTCGGTGAGCGAAAAAACCTTTATGTATGATATGTTAAAGTGAAAACAGTTTAAAATCTACAAATAGGCTTCCCGTCCTTCAAAGGTTAACGATATGTTATAAACTATTATTTTTAACAAATTTATAAGTATCCCCTATTTTTTTAACGTTTCGACCAGAGGGTCCTCTTCAATAGTAGTATAAACAATCGGAACTGAAAGCCGCACATGCAAGTCGTTCCGTGTCCGCCGAGCGAGCATGCTGTAGCGGAATACAAATGGGAACTTTCATTAACACAACTGCGTCCATGTTACATTACTTACTTATGCATGTATGTCTCGCGGCGAATGTCGAGATGACTGCATTTCCTCGAAAACGACGGGCGATTTTGCGGAACGTAATATTTCGCGGATAGCCTGCGAGGTGAATATCGTTTTGGTATTTTAGCGTCGTACTTACTTCCTCTGATTACTCTAGCCAGTCTACCGTTATAATTTACAACGTGATAGACTGGAATAATTGTTGAAATCCACGAACGATCATTTTAATCACAAGAAATGTAACAACCTTAATGTTTGATGCATTGCAGTAATATTAAATGAAATTCATAAAAATCGTATTCTCATCCGTTATATACGATTTTTCCTCGAAATTAACAACGAGAGCATTGATCGACTCTGTCACGATGTAGTAGAACCTCCATTATACGAACGCTTTGTTAACCGAACGTTCTGTGATCCGAACGATATATTTCGAATGTTTTACGTAATGTTTACATCCTACCACGTATACAGGGTGTAACAAAAATATTGGAGGACCCGAATATAAACAACTCTTAATCATATTTTCTTAGTTTCACCAGCAATGGAAATAATGTAGATGCCAGTATAAGTGGGACACCCAATATGAAATAATTCGTTACATCGATCTGTGAAATTGCTATTATCGTATACCGCTTATGTAACCGTATGTTTCATAAAAATTCGTTAGGAAATAACACGGCAGTTTAGAAACATGTAAAGTATCTGCATCACATTCACAACTGTAGGTACTGTGTAACTAATGAAAATTACCGATATTAGTCGATTTACCGAATATGTAATCGTACGTTTATTCGTTCCGATGAAATCAGGGTCTTTCCTGGCGGGGGTACAAAAGGTGTACCCGCACCTGGGCAGTCGCAGATCGTTTATTATAATGTAAAATTTTGACTAATAAGAATAGTAATCACATCTTTTTTGATAATTAATCAAATTATAGACAGGCAGAATTCAATCAAATGAAGTTTTTATATAAATCTTTGTAACACAATGCGTATGCAACAAGAATAGAACTATCTGTATATGCAGCCGAATTATTTTATTGGATTAAATTCGTGTATGTAATTAATGCTCGATATTTATCAACTATAACATCACTATTACAAACACTATACGTTACTTTTGTACTTATATGTGGAATAAAATGTTCATCTTAAATAAAACCATTTATTTTTTAAGGATCTTTGTTTCATGTTATGAAAATAAAAATTAAAAAATATTCCTTTTGCATGATAACTGTTAAAAAATTGTGTGTATAATTATAATTTAATTCAATTTAATATTTTTAATTTAAATTTCATTTAATATTGAATAATATTAAATTAATAAAGGCAGCCACTAATCCAGGAATAGCCCTGTTAGTAATGTACGAATTGTATACATTTCGTCACAAATACACTCATCTACTTTTAAAAGGTTACCAGCCTTGTCATTCGAAACAATGTCAGAAATCGCTGTTGTATTTGTTCGCAGAACGTAATGACACGAAATATTCCAGAAACGTGCGATACAACGAACCGTGACGTGGACGATTTCAGCCTTTTTGTTCCTTTACCGTTTTCTTTACATTTCCTTGGTGTTTAACGGTGACAATCAGTATCTATATGCGGATAGGAACATTTTAAGACGGAAGCAGTGAAGCCAATTACACGGTTCATTCTACGGCAATCAGCGACACGCCATGATTACGGTCTCGTTAATAATTGTTCCAGCACGTTACGAGACTGTGACTTATGAATAAGGTATCCAACGTCAATTAACCTATGGCAAAGGTAATTTATGGAAAGCCTACCAACAATGTATCTGTACTGCTGAATACGATTAGGAGATAGCTGTTGTAGATAATTTCGAAGAATTAATAAGAATTAGAAGTAAGCGTTTTAATAGAATAATATTTTATGCAAAAACATTTTCTAAACTACATAATACATATATTATGTTCTTAACCTATATATTATTCAATAGAAATTATTAGTAACGATCAGTAATTTGTTTATCAGTGTTTGACAAAGGAAACTAATTTTATGTTTAAGTAGTTGTGTAAAATTGAACGTACGTTTGGAATGACAGTTCCTTTGTAGAGATTTCAATTTAAGTATTTAAGTTTGCATTCTATTTAAATCGAGCATGATGGTCTAGTTTACTAACGTAATGTATGTACACACATATTTATATAAAGACTGCATTTATAATGTTTCATTTGTGTCATGTAAAATATCTTGGGGATAATAAAAAAAATTAATTCGAACAATTTGACTTTTGAACATACTTGTGAAGGGTTAATTATCTTCGGAGAGTCTGAGTTACTATATGAATAGTACAAACCTATGTTCCATTGATAAAATTGTATCGAATTTACCGTAGTACCTTAGTTTGATTAATGAAATTTTTTTATTATTAAAGTTTCAAAAAGTTTTGTATATGAATACAATGATTTATTATGAAGTACTGCGAAATCGTATGTAAGGATTAATTACATGATTAACAGGGAGACAATTGTTTGAATAGGAGAATGTTGTCTAAGAATGCCTATCGCACATTTTATATTCTAAATAAGATACTAAGTAACCCACAAGGAAATGAAATATAACAAACAATTATTTTTCAAAAAAACGTATGCATGCCGTATCAGTAAACTGCTGAATACCGCGAACAACTTTTCAAGTTTGAATTCGTTTCATTAAAAATTGTGTATAACGACAATAATTACAAGTTTCCAAATATATAATTTGCTCATATTTTATTTTCGCTATTGTTATTAGTTTTCATTGCTGTTTTATTATTAACTTTGAACATTATAGGACAAATTCTGAATGTGATACAAAAAACATTTTTGTTTCGGTGACAAGTTTTTAAATAGTAATATGTTCAGATAACAGAGGCTTGTATAATAAAGATTCAATTTTACTAAATCGATAGGTAATTGATTTGTAATATAAAATAGCTTATAAAAAACAACGCCTTACCTAAAGTCTTTTATTGTTCTTATCCATTTTACAAATGATAATTAACAGTTCTTTCTTGTAAAGAACCTTCATTCCGAAATTTCCGAATTATAACTACATACAGAAACACAAAAGCTGCAGGTAATATTTTGATTATAAAATCACCGTGAATAAAAAAATCAATAATATAAACGAAAAATAAGAATTCTGAATTTATTTAGAAAAGTATTTGAAGTAACTTCTATTATCCTTGACATATTCGCATTGTAATTTATACTATAAACCAAACTAAATAATTCCACTTAATAGATTATGTTAAAACTTTGAAGGTATAATATTTACATAGCTTACTTACAATATTTCTTATTAAAATAATAAGATTTACTTTTCAAGCATAATATAAAAGTAGACGTATACGTGGCAACGAGATTATTTTTATTGCAATAATATTTCACATTCATTACATTTGTTTAAGTGACCTATCAATGACAACTGAACCGATTAACCAGAAATTTGTACCAAATGTCTTTGTAGTTTCTTTGTGAAAACATTTGTCACGTACACGGCTGCAATATATTGTATGTGTATATGACATGTGGGGTTTCTGATAATTCTTCAACAAAAGTAAATGTATACACCTGCAATTCCTAATGATACGATTTGCATTGTTTAAGCAACGTATAGAACACCTGTGGCTGACTGTACACGTGTGGACCTTTTACAAGTATTAATTGCTCACACTATAACCATACAAACGATTTGTACTTCCGTCATCGCGGCAAACTCATACATTTAAAATTCTGGAACTACCGAGGGCAAGAAGCTGCTATTATCGTAATCGATTTTATTACGTAATCTTGGACGAAATTCATCACCGTATAGCGATGCACACAATAATAGTTTACGTTTGTTCAGTTATCAAGAAAAACTGCAGCATGAGTCAAGCGACGCGCCGTACGGTCACGAGGCCACGGGTGTCACATGACCACCTGAAGGCTCGCCGCGATTGGCCGAACGGCGAGCGACCGAATACATATATATAGAGTGGCACGGCACAAAAGTCGTAGCGCAAAGTGTCAGCGAGTTTCTCAGTGAGCTGGTTCCGTGAGTGACCTTGATCCCCTCGCGTGTTCTGTGACAGTCCTGTTCGCAGAGTAGCCGAACTCCGTCAGTAGTATTCGAGTCATCGTCGCAGAAACTTTGTCGAGCGGCTTTTTCGACGAGCGCAGATTAACAGAGACCAGAATGAAGATCCTTGTTGGCGTTCTATTCGCGGCGTGCTTCGTCGCGTGTGTACACAGCTTCCCCGGTGAGTACTCCGAATTTTCCAAATGCCGGTTTTCCGGTGATACAATTACTACGGGAAGTGCGTGCGTGAAAAGACAATTTGTTCAAAAGTAATCAGTGTAACGGACAACACAGGGTTGCGGATCACGTGCGGTGGTCGATCGTTATCGTTGTGTTTATCTTGCCGGGATTCCCTTTAAAATTAGTTTTCCTCTCTACTCGACACGTCCGACGTACGATGTACCCTCGATTATTAATTGTGTTGTGATTCCGTAACATGTGACCCTGCCGAAAAAGACACAAGCGTGGAGGGATCAAAACACTACCCGATAGAATTCCTCGACGATTACTAACGTAATATTCGTGGGTCTTGTCGCGTGACAGGTGAATGTGCTGTTCCGAACGAAATGAGCATGCGTGAAAAGGGTAGTCGCGAGGGGGCGAACTACATTGACGTGGGTGGTACAGGGTGCCCGAAAAGTCACGTCCGTTAAACATAGGCCTGTTTGTTGTACGTGTTCCGCGGAAGATTCGATTCCTGGATAACATTTTTTTTCTCTGGAAATATTGGACAACGAAATATCCAATCTGCGGAAACGGATCATGCAACCGTGGATATTTAAATGTGAAAGACGAGTCAGTGTAATCCAGCGACTAATCACAACAATCGTATTAGAGCGAGTTCCAAAACAAACCTTTCGAATAGACAATTTGTTTTTATCTGCTGAACTAATAAACTTATCAAAATGAGTTTTGTGGATGCTTATAGTAGGGACACAACAGTACCTAATCAAAAGTATTTCAGATAGAAGAAAATATTTTTTAAACATTTATTTTGTAATTGTTTTAAGGAAATGTAATTTTCTAATAGTAAGACCCAATTGAAAAATTTGAACAAAATTCAGGATGTAGTCCTATTTGTCTTCTTTATGGCCAAATTTTTAAAAATGTGGAGACTTTAAAGTTGACCATATGAAATTGATTGAAGTAACGCTGCGTCGAAGCCCATCGACTCCAACGGCCCAAAGCCGTACCGGGTAGCCTATGTAGTACCACACGGCTTGGCCGATAGAGCCGGTGTAATTCGATACAGCGTTCACTTCAATTAATTTTCATACGTCCAATTTTAAAGTGTCCATATTTTTGAACATATGTCCATAAAGAGAACAAATTGGGCTATATTCTCATTTTCTTTTTCAAATGTTTAATTAGTTTCCCGGTATAAAAACGGCATTTATTTAAAACAATTGCAATATAGATGGTTAAAAAATATTTTCTTTTAACTGAAATAATTTTTCATTTTTAATCTTATGTCTCCACTGTAAGTACCCGCAAAGCTCATGTCGATCAGTTTATTAGTTCAATAGTTATGATTTATTGAAAAAAGGTTGACCCTAAATTTCAAACAGTTGTAAAATCAACAATTTTTAAAATTTTCAAAAATCCTTCAAGATACGTTTATATATCGCTAACGAGTACAACATATCCACATTTGAATAACATCCGAATTGGTGCTCTAAAATGTGTTCAATTTTTCGTGGAATGCCCTATACGCAATTTGAATATCTCGCGAGCCTCGTCGATATACTTTAGAAATAAACATGAAATATATCGTACAAATGACAGATAACAGTGGACGAGCAAATATATATGCGCAACGAAGATCCATTGTGTTTATAGCCTGCGAATTTTCCACGCGTTAAGTCTATTAATCTTCGGTTTTAGTGGATGCAGGCGTGTAGATTTGTAAACGGGCTTAACTTTTCCCGTACCCGTGCATTTCCGTGCCAGAACGGGGGCCATCTTACCATAAAAGTTCGCAAATCAAGAGATGCCCGGCTTGCCGTTGTTTTATACAGTTTTATGCGGAAAGTTGAACACGAGACGGCCGTATCCCACAAGCACTCATTCCCTTGTCTGTGCTAAGTAAGCGGGAAAATTGCCAATTGGCATATGTCTGCTTTATTTGCACTGCGGTAGAATTCGTGTGCTCGCCTTAATACGGCGTATAAATTGAAGTTGTACGCTTTAAATCCTTACTGATATTGTAGTTTTCTTCTTTCCGAGTGACAGTAAACTTATTCCAAACAATACTTAATTAGGGAAGTGTTCCATCATAATTTAAAGTTTACTCGCAAATGTCAGTTTGATTCCCGTTAATGAAATAAACTACTTAAAGTAGACATAAATTTTATTTCCAGTGTATACATAGTATAAACTATAAATTCGTAATTTATTCTATAATATGGTTTTTAGTTTCGAGTAATTATATGATTCATTTAAGTAACTCTCCTTTGTGTTCTCGAATAATATAGTGCAGGGGTTCTCAAACTTTTTAAATTTTATACCACATAAATAAGAATAAAAAAATATATGTACCACCATAAAAGCATTTCCTGATTAAAAATCAATACATCCTAAATGGAGTGTTTATAATCAAAGAATAAAACATTTTAAATTTACTTTTTTTAATTATATTCGTAAATAAAACTTTTACATTATAATAAAATATAGTAAATGGTGGGTAATAATACATGAGCAAATATTAAAGAGATTTATTATTGGTGGATCTTTTTCATGGAGGATCTTTAATATTAGTTATTTACTATTTTCAAATAAATAAATAATATTTGTCAACAAAATCTTTTGTGTAAAAATTATACCACCAAAAATAACATAATGTACCATTAGTGGTACATGTACCGCAGTTTGAGAAACATTGCTATAATGTATATTTAAATAAAATGTTTAGTAAAAATATTACGTTTGTTAGTACACAGTATAACTGTTACTTCTGACACATAAACATTCATTTGAATTGTTCAGGAAAATGGTTATTTTAAATACATCGAAATAATAACAGCATTAAATACACGTTTGTTTAGTTAACTTTGTTGCATTCAGTACCATCAACACGAGTATTTTCTCATAAAACTATAAATCTAAAATCAACACAAAGATTACGAGTAGATAATATGTTTCGTGATAACTGCCATTTAACAAAATAGCCAATAACTCAAATATTTTCATTCCTTCATCGAAAAATAAAATAAATTCAATAAATTCTTTCGACAATTTTATTCATTGGTATCTCCTCTGAAGAACGAAAAACTATAGGCAGGGATCTGGTATTATCACTACCGTTAGCAAATATAATCATAAAAGTATAGTAAACTGAAGTGTACTAATTATGACAGGTTATTTTAATATACACAAGGGTTTACATAACACAATTTTTCACGACGTTACCGTCGTATAACACAGTTTTTCAAGCGTTTGTGCAGTTTATTATTTTCGAGGGTAAAAGAATACTTAATTATTTCTATTAACTATTTTAGTAACTGTGCAAGATCACTTTTTACGTACTGCAATTATGGCACGTACATAGGTACACTATACATATTCATGAGTGCAATTTTCTTATACAAGCAGAATATGAAGTACTGCCGCATGTTCTATGCTGGATGTAATTCTTTAAAACATTGCCAACTTGACGAAACAATAAAATATGTTTGTTTCTGAAAACTTTTGCTAAATAAATACGAAACGGTTAAATTGAAACGGGAATTTTAACATTAACATTTAACTGAATTTAAACATTCGTTCTTCCTGCGATTGTATTAAAATTCGCAGTTATACTCCAGATCTTTTAATATTTAATTTACCAATGTTTTCGGACACCAAATGAAAATTCTATTTATATAAACAGCTTAAGTATGTTTTTACATTTCTCTTAGCAGTGTATTTGTATGAATTATTTCACGCTACACAATCGAAGCTTTGGTCAAGTTTTTATGTTCGTTCAAGCCGTTTATCGGTTGCGACATTTTTCTCACTAATTATAATTGTGACACACATGGAACGGTTATGCGAACGGGGCATTATGCTTGAGTATCGTGTCACTAAGGAATGCTCAGGATGACGCGTTAAAAGTAGGTAGTTGGATTGTTCGCGCGACAAAGGACGGAAGGAAATGAGAATGTGAAATTCACTTGGAGCCGTGGACTTTGCTAATTAGCACCGGCGTCGTTTTTGCAAAGACCGTCGAGAACTCGTTTAATTGATGCTATTTCATTCCAAAGGTAATCGTCCCAGAGGAATTTCGGTCAAGCTGCAGAAAAGCTGCATACCCTCCGATTTCGATCATTTCTGGATATGTTGTAAAATTCGACATTTTGGACAACTTTTTCCTATGCATACAACGGGGGCAGTTACTTAGTTTCCGAGATATTCGCGAAAAACTGACGATTAGCACAGTGAATTCTGCCTATAGTTGTGTTTATTTGACCACAACAGAGTAACGATTCATTCTTAGCAGAGTTATTAACGTGAATGGACGTTTAGTTTCATAGAATCGCAAATCGATTAGTAGACTCCTCTCGATTATCGTTTGGCTTGTTCTACACGATTATTATCCAGGTGTTATCCCCACCACTGGGGGGGGGGGGGGGGGGGGAAGGGGGAAAGGAAGGTGGAACCTATCAAGCACATACTTTGTTGCCGTTGTTATTTAAATGTTGCCAAACTTTGTGTGAGCCAATGTTGTATTATCATTGTAAATTTCTTATTAATTAACCAACTATAATAATTGTAGGCGAAACATTGGATATTCGTTGACAAATTATCATAACTTTTTTGTCGCAGGCCCTATTTTGGAAATTTCTATGCAAAAACACTAACTATATCCCAACTAACTCTCAACTGTTGGACTCCGTTGGCCAAGCATTAATGTTACTAAGGATGCTTCATAGTTGGTTAGAAAAAGTTATTTTTCTCTTGCACTGTATCTAATCAACGCTGAAGCATTATACTAATCGATTTGCAATTCTATGGAACTAAACGTCCGTTCACATTAATACCTCTGCTAAAAAAGAATGAATCGTTACTCTGTATCACTCAAATAAACGAAAGCTAAGGTTAAGCTAAACGAAGTAATTCAGTGCGCTAATACCGGCAGTTTGTCACGAATATCTCGGAAACTAAGCAGCTCCCCCCGTTATATGTATGGGGAAAAGTTGTTCA